TACGCAATTTTTGCCGTTTTCATAGGGGCTTTAGAAGGCAATTCTTTAACGGTCGACGGAATCCTTCAAATTGCTTGAAAAATTTAAAACTTCCTATTGTTGGATAGAAGAAAAGTAAAGCTCTTATGCTAATCCCGAGTTCTAGTTTTGTAAATTGTTTCAATGCGAATACCGAGAACTTTATCAATTTTCCAGATATTTTTTGCATATTTAATGAGGCAAAAAGCTATATTTTCGTTTTTTGCGAATTTCTCGAAGACTTTAAATTCTAAGAAAATCGGAATAATATTTTCGAAAGTGGCTCCCTAAAAGCGTTCTTTAGGCAAAGTTTCAGGATTTGGGATTTTTCCAACCTGGCCAGCCATTCTCGATATTTTCAGTCAGTGACTTTTAAAGCGTAACGCAGAATGGCTAGAAGTTGAGGGAACTAGCGCAGTAAAAAAGAAAACAAAATGGTTTTGTTGACTATAAGGGACGTCCACGGGAACAAGTCTCGATAGAGAAAACAAAGCATCCAGAAACTATCACAAATAAAGCAAGCCAGGGCTTGAGCAGAGGTCAGAAAATGCTTGCTCTTGTAAAGCTTAAAAGGCCAGACATTTCCACACACAATCCAAAATTGCTCAGCCAAACGGACAGTTAAATTCACAACAAGCCGTCAACTTGAAAAGCAACCCAGCAGTACCTCCAAGTCGGTGCGCGAAATCGACCGCTCGTTAATTGTCAAAATTTCTCAAGAACCAGTTGGGTGTGGAACATTTGGACAGTGTTTCCTGGCACGGTATCGAAATATTACAGCAGTTGTTAAGGAAATGAAAAGACGGAATAACACTTTCAAAGAGGGTGAAAGATGTAAGCTTGAGGTGTTTCACGAGGCTAATGTATTGCATAGCCTCGGTGATCATGCTGGGCTTCCTTTTCATTTGGGCATATGCACCGAACAGGAACCATACTGTTTAGTCCTCCAGTTTCACTGCTGTGGAGAGGAAAGCCTTACCCTTCACAAGGGAATTAAACGAAGACTGCTCAATAAAGCATCAACCGTCGGAACATTTAAAGATATTTGTGGTACTCTAGAATACATCCATGGCAAAGGCTTTCTTCACAACGACTTGAAATCCAACAATGTTTTACTAGAAGCAAAAAGGGATGGATTTCGCCCGATTATTATCGATTTTGGAAAAAGCGGGCCAACAGAGAAAGAGAAGGGTTACAAACAGAGCTATGGTGCCGAGTACATTGCACCGGAAGTCAAGAAAGGACACAAGCAAAGCTGTGCGAGTGATGTCTATTCGTTTGGAAAGATGCTAGAGACAGCAGTTCGTAACAGAAGTTTCGCTAGTTTATTTTCAAACATTATTTCCAAAGCAACTGCGTTTTCTCCCGCACTAAGGCCTTCCGTTGGGGAGATTTTTACTCAACTAGCAAATGCTGCTCATAAGTGATTTCTCTTTTATGTACTTTGAGTATACGTATCGCTGGTAATTTGTAGGTCCCGTTTACGTTGAACTCTCGCGTCAGGTAATCGAAAGATATACACAGCAAAAACATTAAAGTTCATAGTTCTGGTTAAAGTAATTATTGTCATATTGTGTAAAAATAGCCTCATCATGTTTGGTATCCTGCAGATGTGGCCTGTGTTAGCCGCAATAGTTGGTGATATAAAATTTCGCTAAAACTGTGAAGCAATCGATGAAGTGTAAGTGACAGAGAACATTATCCCGGGAGACTAGTAATGCGTATTCCATCAACACTTTCTATTGTCCTCAATTTTACTGGGCATTTAAATCGGTCATTTCAAATGACCGATCTCTAGGTAACTAAGACTTGCGGGTTCTCAGACTACCAGACTGCAAGTAATGAGAAATATTGAGTATCACCGCAAGGATCCAACAACAACAACAACAATGACAACAGAAACAACAACATCTTCTATTGTAGCCTTTAGAAATAAAAACCTTAAACTCAGTTCAGTGCTGCAGGGGTCTGATACGTGACTATACGTGATCTGATCTATTTTAGATAGGAAAAGATCCATTATATACGTTCCATATTCCAGACGTGCCGCTCGATGTTTATCGCCTTGTATCCACAACTATCTAAAACTGTTTTAAGAGAAGTAGACACGGATTACCAACCCAACAGTGAGGAGAAACATTGAGCATCACAGAAAGAATCCACCAACAACTATTATTGTAGCCATCAGAAATGTGTTAAATTAAGTTACAAGCAGATACAATTATAATAACCAATGATTACCAGCACCCTGAAATATCTAAAAAG